GAGCAAGCATTTCAACGGGACCACCACGAAGGGAGAACACTGGAAATTTTGGATTGCGGGTTCCCGAACGAAGAAGACAGGAGCACGCCTTTGCGGGTATTAAGCGATGTTGTCGCCACCCTGTCCCGCTTCCCTCACATCATACTGCGGGTTGTATCCACGCCCCGGGTTGTATACCTGAGTGGATATCACACCCTCTTCAACTCGTTCTGGGTTCCACCTCGCATCCCGACCTACGACATACGACCTCCTAGGGAAGATGTCGTACAACTGGTCTTACTGCTTGGGGAACACACGAGCTACTAGCGTCTATCGGGTTTATCCTGGTTGGGGTTCTCGCCGGGTTACTTGCTGTTTAGCCGACCCAAAGGCCGTTGCTGACATTCTGACGTACTGGCCGACATGTCGGGACAACTGGGGCCACCAGTAGTACCGGGAGATGAGCTCCAATGTCTTGAAGTGGCCAGTGTGTCCAGCGACCTACATGTTGTGGTGCTGCTCCGCAATCCGGCGATGGAGGTCCTTATTCCGTGGCACAACAATCTTGCCATGAAACAGGAGGAGTCCATCCGATATTTGCCATTCAGCTGAGCAGGGGGAGGGGGCCTTCCGGTTCTTGGGGAGCTCCCGGGCAATGAGTGCAACAGGGTCCTTGAGCTACGGCTTGGTCGCAAACACCTCCCAGATGTCATGCAGGAGAGGAATCTCGGGTCTGTCGACTGTGATTCCCTCCATTGTGCAGATCCAGAAGAGCTCCGGCCAAAGGAGCGTAACATCCGAGTTCTCAGAACCGGCTCCGTGGTCCGGGTGATGCAAGAGTGCGTCTGGACGACCCATGAGACGGCCTGGCTGGTAGAATAGAGCAAAGTCAAATCAGGACAGGTACAGGGACCACCTGGCCTGCCACCGGTTCAGCTTGTGTGACTTCTGGAAGTACTCCAAGTTCTTGTGGTCTGTCCAGATCTCGAATGGGTGCTGCGCGCCTTTGAGGAAGTGCTACACTCCTCTAGGGCTCAGACGATCACAAGCATCTCCTTGCCGAGAATGCCCAGATGAACCTCCAGTAGAAATTCATGAAGCCGAGGAACTGCTGCACATCCTTCTTGTTCTCAGGCGCAGGCCAAGCGGCAACACTGGCGACCTTGACAGGGTCCATCTCGATGTGATTGTGCAAGATTATGAGGCTGAGGTACTCAATCATCAACTTCTTGAGCTCGCACTTCTCTGGATGGAGGAAGAGGTGATGTTCTCAGAGCTGCCAGAGCACCTTCCAGATGATTTTGCGGTGATGGGCAACGTCGGAATGCGTGATAAGGATGTCGTCCAGGTAAACCACAATGTCTCTAGAAAGAATGAGGTCCTGGAAGATGTCGTTCATCATTGTCTGGAGGGTGGCCGGGGAGTTGGTAAGGCCAAAGTACATCACCAGAGGTTCGAAGAGCCCCCAGTTCGTACAGAACATGGCCTTCCATTCATCACCTTCCCAGATCCAGACATTGTTGAAACCCCACCGGATGTCGAGTTTCGTGAAGAACTGGGCTCCCTTCAAACAGTTAATAAGATTGTTGATTAAAGGGAGTGGGTACCAATTTTTCACAGTCATCGTGTTGAGCACCTGGTAGTCCTAGCCAAACCAGAGGGCACCGTCCTTCTTCTTAATGAGGAAGACTGGTGACACCATCAGAGACTTGGACAGACAGATGCAGCTGGTACTCAATCCTTCTGTGATGAAGGCATCGAGCTCCTTCTGCTCAAGCAGAGAGATCGGGTAGACCTTGCAGTTGGCCGGCTTCGCATCCGGGACAAGTTCGATGGCATGGTCCCACATCTACCTTTCCAGCAGAGAGTCAAAAGACTCCTCGTTGAAGACATCTGAGAAGTCCACGGCCCAGGATGGAACCTCAGCTCCAGCCACTGTAAGCCTCTGCAAGACATTGCAAGATGGTGCTTCCAGCACAAATCTCTTCAACTGGAGCAATCACAGTGTAGAGAATACAGCTGCCTTCCTCAAGCTCATCCTCATCGTCATCATCATTGTCCGAGTCCCGGGACAGGTCAGGAAGGTCATCATCATCAGCTGGATCATACCCATTGTCTCCGTGCCACTCCTCTGAGTCAATAGCGCAGATGGACAGGGTTGGACCTTCATGCAGCTGCTGGAGGATCGAGGCAGCGAGCTTCTCATTCCTCCAGACAGCCCACAACTCATCCTGACAGGTGCGGCATCCAGTTGGCAGCACGTCATGCAAACCTCCTTGGTTCCCAGTTGATCTCCAGATTGTGTTTCTGGAGCCAGGAGTAACTGAGGATGATGTGCTGCTTCCCGAGCTGGGTTATGGCGAGCTGGATGCGCTCAGTGTGCCCCTTGTAGTCGACCACCATATTGACTACACTGGTGATGCTGCCCACTTGGTTCGAGCTGCCATCCACGTTGAGAACTGGGATGGGTTGCAAGAGACACCGGACCGGAAGGCTGCGGGAGATGACGTACTCCGAGTTGATGAAGTCTCTGTTGCTCCACAGTTGACCAGAGCCTTCGCTGACATCTGCGTGGCAGTCTCAACAGACTCCAAGTCCAACGGGATGTGCAGGGAGTTTTGGCCTTCAATAGAGTTGATGACGTACAGCCAGGGAAGTCACTGTTCCCACTTCGGGCAGTGAACACACCGGAGCAAGCCTGTCCTTGTTCCTGGCTCGGGCACAGTGTGGGTTTCCGTCTCCAGGACAGAAAGAAGAGTCTCGGTCACTTGGACAGAGACTGGGACGGGGGGTGTGCCTCTCGATACTACCCCGGAATCAAATACATTAGCATTATCTGAATACAGGAAGGCATAACAATTAGGGGATGCGACCGAGGGCGCACTGCTCACTCGGCCGGGGACAGAAAATTCACCAGGTCTGTGTCCTCGTTGATTGACTCTGTCGGAAGCGAGGCGGTGGTGGAGAGATAAGCAAACAGCTTGTCAAGGAGGTCGTCACTGGGTTGATGGATGACCTCGTCAAGAACATCTGTGTGCCGGATGTCGGACATAGCAGGGCACTCGTAGGTGAGGTGTCTGGCAGCTCTGCACTGGAAGCAGGTGCATGGGAAAGCGTGCATCCGGGTCTGGTCCATGTTCATTGTAATGACTGCCAGGAGTACGGGCGCTGGAGCTGGGGCGAACAAGACCGGAGCACGTGTAGGTGCTGGAGAGGGGAATACACCTGCTGCACATGGCCACGGCAAAGTGGCCAGAAGCCGGGCTGGACTGGAGGGTTTCTGATCTGGGCATGGCTGAATGCTTCATACTGCCAGAAAGCACATACGCACCACCCGTCATAGTCGGTGAGGTTGGTTCCAGATGTCGTAATTGCGATGTTGATCCACAGGTTAAGGCCGGAGTGATACTTGGTGACCCAGACGAGAGTGTCTGAGGTAACCAGCTGTTACGGCCAGTTCCTCAAAGTTGTCCGTGTACCAGTAGACATCGCAGGAGCCCTGGAAGTACAAGTGGGACTCAAGCTTGGCGAGGGCCTGGTCTTGCTCGTTCTCCTCTACAAACTGGAGGCGGAATTCCCTCTCGAATCCAGTCCAGGTGGGGAACAGAAACAGAATGGTTGATGAGTGTCACTTGGCCCACCGAGTGGCCGCATCTTTCAACATGAAGGACATGGCGAACCGGACGAGCTTTTCCTGCGAGACATTTCTGCCCGCCATGAATGCTTCCAGAACCAGCCGGTAGTAGGTGAGAACAGAGTGGAGGAACATCCATCCCTGGGTCCTGTTGCCATCAGAGACGGCCAGAGGGTTTGGTCGGAGGACCGTTTTTTGAGCTGGGTGGGAAGCCGAGAAGTCTGGACCCAGCGCTGGAGCCGGAGTGGCAGGGGCAGGCGGATTTTGGCTGTTCAGCAATAGCTGGCAGAGCATGAGCTGAATGTCCCCAAGGGAACCTTTAACAGCAGTGAGCCGGGCCATGGCGTCGGAAGCTGGATCTGGAGTGTGTACACTCAGGATCTCAGGTTGCGTGGTGACAGGGGCAGGTGGCTGGTCCATCAGAACAGAGGAGGGGTTGAGATTTGAAGTGGGGGAGGATGGAGCACTGGAGTAGTGGTCTGAATCCGTACCTGCACCAAACTTCCCAATCTTGACCAGTTGATCCCTTAGATCCTTTCTTCTGCTGTAAGGGCAACCTTAAGCTTGGCGCTGGGCGCGGAAAGTAGTGGGGGAATCTGAAGTATAAATATGGGTACTAGAATACAGGACCAGAAATACTATGCACCTAGCAGGGGAATCTGAAGAGAAGAAAGGATGAGGATTCCCATGCTAGGCAGAACTTATATACTAATTAGTAACTACCCAGTAACACGTGTCTGGAGGTATCTACCGTGATCCCAGGCCTGATCACATAGCATGTGCCAGCAAGAATGGACAGATGTCCCAGATGGTTGGATGGACGGATGGACGGGTGCAGGAATATTCGGAGTGGTGAATGGAAAAGTGTCCGGAGCACCTCCACCAGTAGTTGTAACTACATTGCAATGTACCCTGGGCTATTTAAATAAAAGAAGTGCTAGTCCCGAGGTTTGAACCAAAAGCCAACACAGATTACCTAAGCCTCAAATCATAAGGAAGGTAATACCACAACCACTAGACTAAGGGAGAGATAGCATGGATAAAATTGATGGGTATATACTATGTGGTCCCAAACACATAATTAGTATGTGCTGACCTATTCTGCCCCGCTAGGGGCTTGGTTAGTGTTTAGGGTTAGTGTCTGGGTTAGAGGTTTGAGTTAGGGGTTAGAGGTTAGGGTTAGAGGTTAGGGTTGGTGAGTGTTAGGCCCCAGGGATATTGAAAAAAAAAAATGTTGAAGGATTTTTAAACAAAAACACAGAATAAGCATGTAGAAACAATTTCAAAGATCTAGGGCAGCTTGCCTGCCCTAGGTCTGGGTATTAGTAGTGTCAAATAAGAAAGCAAGGCTGCTGTATGTGGTCATCAGAATCTAATCCCTCTCAATGGTCTGATAGTCTAGTGGTAATAACAAATGACTTAAAATAGTTGTGTTATCTGGAGGTCTGGGGTTCAATTCCCGGGACCAGCATCATTTTGCTTTGATTTACTTTATTTCATTGGCTGGCGAGGGTACATTGCATTAAAGGTACACCCTGGCTGACCAGCCAAGCAGTGCCTTTAATCCAATGTACCCCCCTGCCATGGCTGGGTACATTCCAATAAAGGTACAGCTACACCTCGGTCACTGACTCACAATACCCATGGTGAAGAATGTCTTCTACGCCATTGGCTATTCACTACTCAGGCTCCCACCCTTTACTGATCCTATCTATTCCATCTATCTCCTTTCCCTTCTCTCTAAAATGTATAAAGCCAGTAGTACTGCCATGTATTAGCGAGTAAACTATCCCCCAAGATATCTGGGCAATATAGTGGACTCTTGAGACTAGTAAAATATATCAGAGATTTGAAGATGCACAAACAAGATTGTAAAACACAGGACATTGAAGTGAAATACCAGTGTATTGATATAAGAAATAAGTGATCCATCTTGGGGCAGAGAGCCAACTGACTTTGCCCTCACGCAATTCAATTGTGAAGAGCTCAGCCTGTAACCTAGACTCACTCCTTGATGTGAAAGTGTTGCATGATCAACCTTGGTGCAGAGAGCCGACAGATGCTGCACTCAGGTCAATAGAGGTTGCACTCATGCAGCTGTGAAGAGCTGGTCTATAACCTAAACTCACACCTTGAAAGAGCAGCCACCTTCAGTGTAACTGCCTGCACTATTAGCCCAGCGACTGCCTTCTGTGTAACCACACCTGTGTATTGATCTTGTGCCATTCATGCAAGAGAGTTCCGATTTAACTGTCTGTCTGCCGAAAGTCTTCCCTGCCTATTCTGCTTCTTGGCTAGCTGCCAGTTAGTGTTAGGATCTGATGCTCACAAGGAAACTGAAGACTTTGAACAGTTGAGGGTTTACTTGAGTCTTGATACTCTGATGGTGGGACAGTCCCTGCTACCCTTGCATTCTCTGTGCTCAGATCACATACAGAGCCAAAACCTGGATCCGAAAAAAATCTATTCTGAGTGGCATCCATGGGGTCTCTCAGGTGGGTCTTTTTTTGTAGAATACCTTCGATGACTAGAAGTATTGTGGTGCAAAAAAAACTGGGCCCATCCCACTGGTTGCGCACACAAAAAATCGAACAATTGCCAAAAATGGGTCAAATTTTGTCAGTTGCAGTTAAGACTTCAATGCTTCACACCAAAACCATTCATATGTATGAGATGTTGTAAATGGTCAGCCCATGGGGCTGCATGAGAGAGGCATCTGTGCATGTATGGTTGGTGCGTGGTGCATTAGACATCACTGTGATCTCGCATCACCGGCATTTTTCGGATCTAGGGCAAACTCGGAATTCAGCCAAATAAGTACAGGTGCTGTGCCATACAACTACTCAATCAAAAATCTTGAAAATATTCGAGGGTACACTTCAAGCTATATACTATACCCTAGCACACTCAGAACATTTAAATTACCTTTCACGGCCATAAAACAGGGGGTCAACTTCTTTTTTTCGGATCCGGGTTTTGGCTCTGTAGCTTTCTGTTGAAACAAAGACTTATTCCACCTTTGCGCACCCTCTTGATGGGTGATATGTACCCTACTTCCCTAAACACACACACATGACTATTAGGATTGGTTTTGTGTTGTGTTTTGATTTTGGTTGGATTGTGATTAGTGATTGGTTCGCTTCACTCTTTAGTTAATTTCATTAGATTACACGGCTGCAGCCTAGTGCACCGTGTCACCAGAGCATTGGAAAAGCCCTCTGGAATGACTCAGAAGTTGTAGGAGCCATAGTGGGAGTGAAAAGCATTTTTGTATTTGTTGCTGGGGGCAACTCGGAGCAAGTGATAGGTGTGCCAGAGATCCAGTTTGGTGTAAATACACACCTTTCCATCCTTATTCTTAGTGAAGAGGATAGGAGTGCCATGGGAGGAATGAGATGGATAAATGAAATCTGCCTTCAAGTTCCTGTTGAGGAACTCCTGAAGTGCCAAAAGTTCAGCTGGAGAAAGGGAATAGATGGGACCAACTGGAGGCTCCGCACTATTGATGGTCTCAATCTTAAGATTGAATTCACAATGAGGCGGAAGGTTGTAAGCCTTGGATTTGGAGAAGACATCAGTGAAGTCATGGTACTTGGACGGAATGCCAGACAAGTTGGCAAAGTCCGGCTCGGTTGAGCTGCTGAAGCTGAGAGTCTCCTCGGTCAGAGTCGTGCATAAGGTATACTGGACGGTGCTTTTATCGCAGATGATCATGTGGAAAGTGGTGGCCGAAACCATAGACACAAGCCGGGCAGTAGTGAATAGACAAGGTGCAAGGACCTCAGGCAGCTCCGAAGGAGGAGCCGTGGGAGTCTCCATAGAAGGAGCAGGTCCAGATGAGCACATCAGTCCTGTGGCTACTTGTTGTACAAATGATGGATGCAGGGTTAGGCCCATGCCCAAAGTCGGAAAGCTAGACAGAATGCTGGAAGGAGAAATATAGTCCATGGAGAGTAAAGATATATTGAGTTCAACATAAAAAGCATTAGGGGAAAGAGTGGATGCATTGATAGTAACCTCGGGTAACACCTCCAAGTCAACACAGTTTGGACCAGGTGCAGAGGTTTCCGAGCTGCTGTCTAATTTTTTGACTTGGAGATGGTAGCATCAGTGGCAGGCACAGGCAGAGTAGAAACAGAGATGGCCTTGCCTTGAGCATTACCCAGATGTTTCTTGCAGTCAGCCGTCTTGTGACCCTGACTGCCCTAACTGCAGCAGAATATGCAGAGGTTATTCTTCATGTGCTGCTTGCGCTCCTCGGTCTTGAGCTTGCCAGAGGAGTCGAGCTTGTTGGTGTATGGCTTCAGAGCCGACTTAGATCCAGAGGCCTGACTAGACATTTTGCTGGAGGGCTGAGGAGGGTTGGATGCGCTGAAACAGTGCACTTGATGATATACAACTAGAAATAGCTTAGATTTGGGCTTGCACAAAACCACCACAAAGCCACCACTACAACAATCTATTCCTCCAAAGATGTAAATGCTTCTCTTTGTGAGTTCGGGTCCGGGCCGTAGTATGCAACCAACGGGTTTGGAACAAACACAATTCAACTGCTAGACTTCAACAAAGCTGTTCAACAACATGCTAGCACTATGCAGCTGCCAACAACAATACCACTAGCACCTGGGATGGTCTGGGGTTTATGGGTTGGATACAAGGTGACTGGATCCCTAGATCGAGGGCACCAGGGCAGAGTATGTAGGTTTGTAAAAATCCTCGCAATGGGGTACCCAAAGACTATTGAGGCTAACAACAAGGGACTTCAATCCTCAAGTGACAAGGCAGTCCTTAAGCCGCTGACCTATTCCTTAACCAAGAACAGCAATGTTTCCACTTTGTATTGGCAATAGACACTATAAGTGTCCAGCTAGCGACCCAACACACTACAACAGTGCTTCCGTCAATATCAGTGAAGGCGAAGTAACTGACAAGTTACAGTCGGTCTAGAGGTGGGGGCACCTAGTCTGTCTTCTTCTTAGTAGGCTTGAGCCAACACACAACTACCTAGCAGGCGATCCAACACACTACGACAACACTTCCATTTAATATCGGGGTGAAGGCAAAGCTGCTAGTGCAACTGCTAGCTGGTTCTTGAAGAGAACACCCTTGGTTTTATATGTGAAGACTCCTTGAGTCAACAACTAGAACCTCAACTTAAGATCTCGACGTGTCCAGAGTCAACAGTATTGATTCCAATAAAGCTACTCTTGTGAAGTGTGTTACAATCTCCACTAGTAACCTGAGAGCACCTGCACCAACTTTGTACAAAGTGGGGGTGTAATAATCTCAGGTTCTGGCCTGCTCTGTGCTCCCTTATACTACTGAGGTCCATGGTACATGTGATAAACAGAATGAATAATATAAATGAGTGAAAATGATGTGATGGATACAACAGCCAATAAAATGACTGCAGTTTGTTTTTATGATGGGTCTATGCCAAGCAGAACAGCCACACTGATCTGCTAGCATCCATTTATGGGTATCATGAGTGATTCCTCAGCCTGCCGTCTGCTGCTGGAACCTCTATCCTGACAAAACAGAGTTGAATCCGCTGCCTGGAGTCATCTAGCACAGGTCAGAGCACCAGCTAGCAGTCCGTTTATCTGTTACTGCATTAGTGGTGACCTGCACATCCGCACCAATAGCCTGCTAGCTATTCCTCTACTGTCTACTTGTCTCTGTTTGTGACTCGTGACCACATCGCAACAGTCATGTGCTTGCATCTGTGTTTCAGATCTCGGGTCGATCACTAGTGGGGTACTACATACTAACACCCTTGTTAGAAGACTGCTAGTGCATAGTTTATTACCCTTCAGATTCCAGACTCACTGCTCGCACCGTCTGCTAGTGCTCTTTCAGTATCACTCTCCTGTGTCTCGCTTCCTAGGTGCTAGCACCTTGACTGTTTAGGCTTATGGTTATTTCCCTGTGGTTTGTGCCTCCAGACCGTACTAGCGCGTCACACTAGTCGTGTGTGTCTGATGCTACAACCAGCAGCTTGGGCTCACTCCAGTTCTCCTTTATATCACCTAGCCAGAGTCCTGAGTGCTGGTAATAACACATCAGAAGTGCTAGTGCTTTCCCATTGTATAAATACTGATCGCAAAATAGCACTAGATACCGCGCGCTCTTGTTATGGTGTTTCAGCATGCTCTTGAGCTTTCTTGTTCTGGCACTGATGATAGCACTAGTCAATGGATGAAGCAAGAGCTTTGAGCCTGGCAAGGGTTGCCGGAAGCTGGGTCTGCACAAGGGCATCCTTGATGTGACTGGGTAGGTCTCGGTAATATGCCTAGAAAAGGGCAGCCTTGTTGTACCCAGTCATCACCATGTGAGTGTCAAACTCCAGCTGGTAGGTCGCCAGTCAGTCACCCAGCTTCATAGAGAGGGTCTCCAGATGAATCTGCGTGTCCCTGAAGGGGTTGTGCAGGCCGAAGTTGGTCGCAAGCTCCTGGACAAAGAGCTCCC